TAGATTTGGAAAATAATGTTTGAAGTACTAAAGAATAAGAAAAAAGTGTTTACATGCATGCTTGTGTGTGTGTGTGTGTGTGAAGCAGAAGAAGAGGAGATGGAGACTGATAGATATCCAGGAGCATTAAACCATATCTGTGTGTTTGTGTGGATGCTTAAGGCAAGAGAACATCTTTCCAGTGATATTTCTATCTTAAAAGAATGTGGTATTAAAAAGCCATGAATGAATTGACAGACATATGTGGATGTCAAGACTATGAATGACAGTACACCCACTCCTCATTGATCAACATGGTTAGGTTCCAGTGATGGTCGTTATGCAAAAATGGACATTTGTGAAAATGGAGGATGATCACATCAGATCACAAAATGGAGGATGACCACATCATAACATAACTGCTAAAGCTCTGAGAATCATGGCTCAGCCAAGTTGACACATAACTGTAACCATCACAGGCAGTAGTGTTATTCTCACTTAGCACTCCAGCAATCGTTACTGCCAGATGTACATTGTTAATGTACAAAATAGTTAGATTTTTTACTACGGTCGTAAATGGAAAATATCAGATAATGAGATAGTCAATAAATGAGGAGTCACTATGCCTAATCTGACTTTTTCCTCAGCATCAGGTGGTAGCCCTCAACCTTGGGGAATGTTACTGTTTGCATTCATTTCTTCTGGTTTCAGAATTCTAAGAGGCAAACACTGGAAGTCAGAGGGTTTAAGGTATCCTTGTGGCTAGTCCTATGCTGTGAAGTATGTCAGCTGAGCAGGTGCAGAAATTCTGTGGTACTTCTTATGGGGAAAACATGGCAGTTCTTACATAATTACACACTGGTTTACAGGGATATTTCTTTGCTTAAAAAGGAAGGCAAAGAAAAAAAAGGGGGGTTGACCCAGTCAAATACGTAAGGCAAAAATAAATTGATCTCAGTGGATTTTTTTTTAAATGAGTTTAGAGACAGGAAGAACATTTTAATTTATTTGTTTTCATCCATAAGATTCCCAAGGCATGGCATATTTTGGAGACATAAGGTCTCCCAGAACAGAAAATGATGCAACTGCTTCTGGAAACTTTAATTCACGCAAAGAAGATGCTTAATTTGTTCCAGAGTGGAATCTTACCAATTCCTTGGGAAGATTAAGAATACAACCAAGTAACTACTAGAGAGTCTGACCTCTT